AAAGAGGGGGGACTCGTTTCATGGGGAGGGGAGCTGGAGATGCTTTATTCACCTGGCACATGGACACCGCGTGTGCAAGCACCCATCGCCATGCAGTACGTATCTGCCCTGATACTCTCTGCGACACAAAGCAGTGCATTTTACCCTTTCTTAACTTGCCTTCAAGGACAGACCCTAAGCGTAGGACTACTAGAAAGATGGGCTAGAAGGCAGGTTGTGCAAAACACCTACTCTTATTAAAAAAAAACAAAGCCTACCCACTTGAATACAGCTTCTTTCTCCGATTCTTTCTGCAGGAGACTCCAAGGAACTGTACCCAACCCCAAGTCTGCATTACTGCCCTGAGCCCCAACTGTCCTTCAATGCCAAGACACTGACGAGAAAAGCATACCACATCCCATAGTCTCAATGTTGAGGGGGAAAAGAGTCAAGAGGTTTGCTGCTGGAAATCCCCCACCATCAAAGCAGTTCATGTCAATGCCCATTTATCTGCCTGCCAGAACACTCATCCAGCTGATGGCAGTGGTTGCTTTGCCCGGTGGGGCTCAGGCCACGTCCCTCTGGACCTGGACCACATCCCACTGCTAGCCTGGCCAGAGGCACAGCTGCCTGCCTCTACGCTGAAGTAGTTTCCCATGTCATCAGAGTTGTCAGGCCAAAGACTGATGAAGGGGGAGACTGCTTCTGTGACGTTTTACTACAGAAGCACTGATGCTATAACACGTGAAACATCATCAGAAACAACTCAGCCAGTCATTCAGCCCTGACAGGCCATCAGTGAGTCCACGAAATACCACCTGGAAGAGCTGTCCAAAGGGGAAATCTAATTTTAAAGATCCTTTGCCCTTCACCAACCTCACTGTACAGTATTACCTTCACAGATTTTGAGACAGAAGATAAATGGAGTGAGAGGCGGACAAAACTGCCCTTGGGCTCTCTGGAGATGTGCTGGGTGGTAGGGAGGAACGAGGCTTGGGTTCCTATCTGTGAGCAGTACCTGCTGCCTTGCCTAGGGTGGAAGGACACGCAGATGCGACCGGAGAGGTCTGTGCCTCGTGCTAAGCCAGGCGATAGACCTCCTCTGTGCAAAGTAAGAGTGACACGATTCAGGGACCTAAATTAGGCACTGGCCTTGAGGTAAGTACGGGAAACTGAAGCTCAGACAATGCCAGTATCCCTTTAGCACAATGGCCATCCCGTCGCACAGCACAGTAACAGGATGGACTGTACAAGTATCACATTATACGAGTCAACAAATGCCTTCCCCATACCTTTTAAAGGAAAAAGGTATAAAATGATCAGCTGGGAATAGAAAACTAATAAAAATGTAAACAAATCAAAACATCGT